TTAGCAAACAATTCACTCATTAAGTCATACAAACTTAAACTAATCGTAAAAACTAATTGTCATTATCTGTCTGAACCACTAATCGACTTAATTATCACTACTTTTCACTAATAATATGACTAAATGATGGCAAAAGACACCAAACATACCCTCAAATCGGTCTCAATCTCGCCGTCAAAATCGTATAAAACTCGACCGAAAGTGTCGGTCGGAAACAACTCGTGATCGCCGACCGCACCGCCACTCAGATGGCTCTCATCGGCGGCCGTAATGCTGTTATTGCGGTCGCAGTCGACGATAATCTCGACAAAACTCTTGGGAAAGATGCCAACCCTCCCGTCGCACTCGCCCTCAATCCAGTCGCCGTCGATATGACGGATCAGATGAACGATTTCGTTCTCCCGAAGACTTAACTCATTGGGGAATACGGCGTGAAATGAGAACAAAGCCCTGCCGTAGGACTGGACGTCCCCTACATAGGCGTTATTGTAGCCCAGCGACGAGGGCTGAGCTACCGGCGCCTCCGAGTACATCATCGAACTGATTACGTGGTCATAGGAGGGCGGGCTGTCCATCGGGCAGTCGTTGATGTCACTGGTGTTTTCGTACAGACTGCTGTCATTGGTGTAGATGTGGTGGTTGTGGGCGCCGTTGGCGGGCGTAGTGGCCGTGGATGTCATGTCCAGCAGTGGGTCTATAGTTGGGTCACAGAAAGTCTTAAGTTAGTTATCTGTGGGCACAGTGTGTGGTAAACTAGAGGTCGAGTTTGAGGCACAGTTGAGTGAACACATAGACTTTGATCGCATGTATAGATATGTTAACAATTTTTTCCTCATATTTATCGTATGATTAACGCAAACATAACAGTCATTATGAAAAGCATATTAGTAATTAGATTTTTAAAAATAACATTTAAATCGACACTAAATCACAGACTGTTTTTTGCACTCGTATTTCAGGCATTAAGCGAAAAAATTTTGTTATAAAATATTATGAAAACAAATCGGTTTAACGTCTTTCTGATAGCTAATTATGACTTGAAAACGCTGTTTTCCTATCACTGATAAACCGCTGATTGTTACTACACTTCCCAAACCGATTATCGCGTTAATGAATACTTTTAATAACAAATAAATTTCTTGTAATCATTAATACAAATAGAAATAAAAATTGTTAAGACATTGTCAGTGAGAGAGACCGACTGATTGAAGGCTATAATACATACGACTAATGAAATAACATTTTGATTGTGAAACACAGTCTACAGGAAAATCTCACCAAAAAATATACAATTATTTTAATAATATTTTGATGAATCAAATAAAGTTTTGGGGATTTTTATTGCTAGTGATTACACATGTATTTCTCGGTATTTTAACCCACAGTTCAAAAACTTTATAAAAAACTATTAAATTCACAAAAATTAAACATTAATTTCACATAACATTAAACTACTAATTAAAATATTAAAATACTCATAAGTTATCACTAGTACACGTTTACCTAGCTGCTAATTATTATTAAAAATAACTTTATAGCACTCATCATAAATACCATTAACTTATTACCTAACAAATAGCCTCAGGGTTACGTTATTGCATAGAAATACGGTAACAATAACCACAAACAAGTAATTATCATGGGATCAAACACGTGGTGAACATCTATATAAACACTGAGACAATACCACACAGAGCTATCACCGCAACTGATACGCACCGTTAGGCGGGATGTGGTCCAAGATGTGGACAAACCTCTTGGGAATAATGCCAACTCGCGTGCCATCGGCCGACTGTCCCCTGAAGTACATCTTATCGACAATTTCGGTGATAATCAGCACTTCATCCTTATGTAAGTCCATCTCGTCCTCCAATTGGGCCCTCATTTCGATCATCACTTTGGCGTACGTTTTGTCTCCCATTTCGTGGACCTCTTGCGGTGACACTTCAGACAACACTGTATAATACCTATGAGTGACAACTGGCCGCACGTGTCGGACCAGTGGTCAGTCGCACCGGGATGTTGTCCGTACGGGCTGTTAGTGTACGCACTAGTGTCGGGCCCCCTGACCACCGCCACCATCACCACCACTACCACCGTTGCCTAAGACACGGTTATCTCCACTGATATACATGTCTATCGCTGACTGAGTGGTGGGGAACGGGATGTGAGGCAGACGTACGAAATGATAGTACAGTTTATGGTATAATAATAGTCATAGAAATACGAGTTGTGATGAGATTTGTGTTAATTATTGAATCAAATGAATGGATCTCTCATTGAAAACCCATTTGTGTACTGAATATAACAGTAAACGTAAATACGTTACGATTAATACACGTATTGTGTGACGTCACACATACAGGCGCTCACTGGCACCGGTAGGTGACGATAGTNAAAAGGTTTGAATAGACTTTGCGCCGAATTTCTATTGAAAACTATTTTTGAACATTAGATAAGAGTTTGAGTTTAGATTAAATGCTTTTGATTTATGGGGAATTTAATCGCAACTATTTGTGTCAACAATTTTCCACGGCATACCCTTCCCCCAGACCTACAGTTCCCATACTATCTCTAAAAGTTTACACTTGCTATCTCTGTAAACACTGTTATCTAAAATAGTTATCTATTTGTTAATGCAATCTATAACGCGATTAGTAGTCATAATAGGATTGAAACTAATCATAAGTTTTGTGAATTAATAAACTAATTGTTTGAGTGCCTGTCCCATAGGTTCGGGAGCAAAGGGGTTGCGTTATAATGGAATTACTGCAGACGGAAAGGGATTACCGGATGAATCTGGAGGTATGCGCCGACATATTCCTCAAGAACCCCGAAGAGGCCAAGAATAATGGCGTCGACTTGAAGCGACTGTTTGGGAACCTGGAGGACATAATAGACGTGTCGGCGCTGTTGATCCGGAAGCTCGAGGAGTCGACCCAAATGAAGAAATACGAGCACCAGATGGTCGGCAAGTGTTTCCTGGATGTGTTGGACCAGATGAAGGACGCCTACAGTCTGTACTGTAAAAATCACGACCAGTTGCAGCCATTGTGGAACCGATACGACGGTTAGTTTACCACCGATTGTCTCGCGATTTGAGTATTGAATTAATTTTAAAATGTTAGGTAAGGTTAGGTTAAGTAAGGTTATCCTATGCTATACGGTACTATGTTTTGTTAGGTTGTATGAGATGTTAAGTTAAGTTAAAATTATTCAGCAAGGTTCGCAATGATTTATATTTTGAAATTTTTTATCATTCAGTTAAGCATTGACTTACAATTAATTTAATAATTAAAACTCACTTTTATTTATTTTATATAACTGAACGCTAACTAACAATTCATTATTTATATCTACTGGAACTGTAGCCCAACCGGACGCCAAGCAATACCTGGCCCGCGGTCTGGACGTGATGCGCGAGCGCACCAACTGTTTCGACATACCCTCTGTGCTCATCAAACCGGTGCAACGGATACTGAAATACCCGCTCCTACTGAACGAACTGCACAAATGCACCGAAGATGGCCACGAAGACAAGCCGGACCTGATCCTGGCCATCGACCGCATCACAGGCATGGCCACCCGGATCAACGAGTTTAAGCGCCGGCAGGATTTGGTCGAGAAGTACCGGTCCGAGTCGTCCCAGAAGCTGACGTCCCGCCTATCGAAACTCAATTTGCATACCGTTATGAAAAAGGGCTCGCGTTTGGGTCACCGCATTAGTTCCACGTTAGGCCTCTCGCCAGCCACTAAGGTATGGATCAGATTGTGGTGATAGTCGTCGCGAAGAGTTGGTGATCATTGAGTTGATGGTGTGTTTTATTTTTCGTTTGACTGATGGATAGGACGATGAGTTCAATCGAGTGGTGCAGAAGTTCCACACCGTCGAGAAGACAATCAAGATCTTCGCCAAAGACAAGCAGGCGTTCGTCAAGTCTGTGGAGGACTTCTCGACGCAGGGGTTGGCTGTGGTGGAGGCGGTGGCCGAGTATTACGATAAGCGAAACCGACAGCAAGAAGTGGAACAGTTGCGCACAACTCACCGGGTGATTGTCACCCAGTATTGGCGCGAGTTTGACACCTCAGTGAACAGGGATGTGACGCCCGTGTTGGACAAACTGTTGGCTAAATTTGCCGGTAATTGAATCAGTCATTAAAAGGGAACGGTATGTCAGACTGAGAGAGTGTAACCACAATATTGTCTCATTTTAGGGCCCAATAAGTTGATCGCCAAGAGGTTCGACAAAATGGCTGACTTTGACTCCATGTCCAAAAAGGTTGAGTGCAATAAGGATCAGACGCGTCAGCGGCAGCTCCAGGATCAGCAACAGTTGGCTAAACACGTCTACGAGGCGCTCAACACCCAATTGCTGGAGGAGGTGCCGCGTCTGTGCGACCTATCCCTGCAAATACTCCAGGACTGCATACAGGCGTTCCTATTGGCCCGCAAGCAGCTGATCGGCCGCATCGCCCGCCACCACCTGTCGCTCCTGGAGCTGCCATTAGTGGCGAGTTTTGCCAACGGGTCGGCCGAAGACATTACGGAGACGTTTCAAATCAAATACAACTTAATTACGGAGCAGCTGTTGGACGACATATCGATACTGCCGGCGCACGTGTTCCCGAACGCCTGTCCCTCCGGTAGTGGTAGTCATCACTCGTCGCAAACGGATCTCCGGCGGCAGTCGACTCGTAATTCGCGGCGAAGTTTGCAATTAAATCACATCAACCTATCGGTGGCCAAGACTGTGGGCGTCAACACTAATATGAATCGAAATGTTTGTATAGTTTTTCAGACGGTTTCCACACATAATTAACACATACCTGTCCTCCCTGTCCCCATCAGGTGCAACAGTCTGGCTCTCAGCGCCAGTACCTTCAGTCCCGATACCAGTCCCACCAGTTATTCACAGCGACTGAACGGTACGAAGCGTGCGATCTGTTGGACATCTACCTGAACGCCGGCGATTTGGTGGGCGTTTTGAAACGCCAGGACCCCATGGGTTCGCCGCACCGGTGGTACGTCGACACCGGCAGCGCCCAGGGCTTCGTGTTGGCCAACGCACTCCGGCCCTATCACGACGACTCGTGGGTAACGGCCCCTCCGGACACCACCACCGCTGTCACCAACAGTCGCCCGCAAACTATATACGAAAAGCCCGAAAAGGTATGCATTTTACAGCATTTTGTATACACTATGGGCCATTCAATAAGTACGTGTTATTGATTGTGTTTTAATTGTTTCAGAGACCCTTAACCTATTGTGAAAATCAGGCACCGGTAGCCTATCCCTATCCTACGCCTACGGTCAACCCTACCAACCCCTCATCCCTAGTACAGCATCAGTACAAAGTGCACCCGACGCCCGAACCGCCCGTCCAGTACAGGCACGACCCCATCGAACACCATCGCTATGAGGAGGTGCCCGAAGACTCGCCCCCTCGCTATAGCCGATTGGATGTGTCCGGCGACACGACTACCGGTGCCGCCAATAGTAGTCTCCTGTCGTTTGATGAGAGTATAGACGAGAAACAGGGTCTCAAGAGTGGCGGTCAACCCCTGTACGGCAATGTCGATGAGTTTGATCCGTACGCACCGGTAGCTCACGTGGAAAAGTCACAAACACCGACAGGTGCCGTACTATTAGTGTTTAAAATAAATTTTCTGTTTTATAAAGAACTGTATCTTAAGTTTTGTATTTAAATATACAGTTGAGACGACTACCTATCACCGGTACGAGGAGGTGCCCGAAGCACCAGCCATTAGAGCACCGGTAGCTCCGCAGATAACCGATGAGAACCTATACTTCGCCGCCTATCCATTCCGAGCGAACGATACCAATCAGTTGACGCTGGAATTCGGACAGCCAGTGGCGCTCATTAAGGACAGGGATCTGAACGGTAACAGCCAGTGGTGGTTCGTGGCCGACAAGGCGGGCCGCACCGGGTATGTGCCGGCTAACTATCTGCAAAAGTATCATAAGAAATGAGGTGTCGTTCCCCTCCTGTGAGTCCATAAAAACAACTTTTTCTTCCTATACTTTGCTATGAATTTGCGATAATTTATTGTAATTGTAATACAAATGTCACACAATTTTTTTGTATACATTTCCACTCGACTTCTCATATAATCCGTGATTTTCAGCTATTTTTGTATTTATAAATCAAAAATATGTGATTATTTTTGCGGATATTATTCATGCATTTATTACTATATTATAATTTATAACTAGTTTTGCAACTATTATATGAATTTTCTAATGATTTATTTTTAAATATGAGTACTACTGGCCCTCCCATTCCCATCACATTGTAGGCATATTTGTGTTAAATCGTGAGGTGTTATCTAATAATTTAATCAAAGTTTTTGTGCAGTTATTCTCACTTTCAGTCTACGATTTCAAGTCTATAATGCAATGAATTTTTATTAGGATTTTTGTTTTTATTATTT